GGGCTCACACCTGTAATCCCAGCACTTTGGAAGGCTGAGGTGGGTGGATCACAAGGTCAGGAGATTGAGACCATCCTGGTCAACATGGTGAAACCCTGTCTCAAAAAAAAAAAAAAAGTTAGCTGACAGTGGTGGCTATGGCATGCCTGTAGTCCTATCTATTGGGGAGGCTGAGGCAGGAGGATTGCATGAGCCCAGGAGTTTGAGGTTGCCGTGAGCTATGATCACATCATTGCACTCCAGTCTGGGCAACAGAGATAGACCCTGTCTCAAAACCAAACCACCAAACATTGGACCGTTATCAAAATTAAAAACTTTTGTGCATCCAAGGACGCTATCAAGAGAGTGAAAAGGCAAGCTACAAAATGAGATAAAATATTTGCAAACCATGCATCTGATAAGGGTTAATATCTAGAATATAAAACAACTCCCCAAACCCAACAACAAAAAAACAAGCAACACAATTTTAAAAATAGGCAAAGGACTTGATAGACATTTCTCCAAAGGAGCTATATAAATGGCTGATAAACCCATAAAAAGATGCTCACATCACTAATCAGTAGAGAAGCGCAAATCAAAGCTGCAGTGAGATAGTGCTTCATTTCATTAGGATGGCTTTTATAAAAAAACGGCAACAACAACAAACCAAAACATGAAATGGCAGGTGTTGATGAAGATGTGGAACTCTGGTGCATTGTTACTGAAAATGTAAAAGTGGTACAGCTGCAATGGAAAACAGTAGGGTGGCTTATCAAAAAACTGAACACAGAATTAACTGTATCTTCCAGCAATTCCACTTTCAGATATGTACCTAAGAGAACTGAAAGCAGGGACTCAAACAGATATTTGTACACCAATGTTAGTAGCAACACTATTCACAATAACTAAAAGATGGAAACAACCCAACGTCCACTGACAGATGAATGTATAAATAAAATGCAGTATAGCATATAATGAAATAGTATTCAGCCTTAAGAAGAAATGAAGTTTTGATAGATGGTACAACATACATAAACCTTAAAAATAGTATGTTAAGTGAAATAAACCATACACAAAAGAACAAATATTGCATGATTCCACTTTTATGAATACTGAGAATAGTCAAATTTGTCAAGATAGAAGGTAAAATAGTGGTGGTTGGGCTTGGGAGAGGAAGAATGGTGAACTGTTGTTTAATGGGTCTGGGGTTTCAGTTGAGATGAGAAAAAAGTTGCAGAGATGAATAGTGGAGACGGTTGTACAAGAATGAAAATGTATTTAATGCTACTGAATCACACACTTCAAAAGGGTTAAAATGGTAAATTTTATGTTCTGTGTATTTTACCACAAAAATAGCCAGGCTCGGTGGCTCACACCTATAGTCCTAGCACTTTAGGAGGCTGAACCTAGCGGATCACTTGAGGTCAGGAGTTTGAGACCAGTCTGGCCAACATGGTGAAACCCTGTCTCTACTT